GGCAGCTCTCCAGCCACTCTTCTCCAAGAGTTGCATGGGGTTGTTGTGACCCATGTGCAGGATGAGACACTGGGTGGTAAAACCCACCCAGGACACCTGTACTGAGTAAACCATTGCAGACTACTCATGTGTGAATAAACATAGTGACCATTTAATTATTTCAATTCCTGATGATCCTAGGTTTGTTTACAGAAAATGAAGGACCATTTTCCTTAGTGACATATTACAGTTGATATATTAAAAAAGCTAATTGCACTTGGGAGTTAAAGATAAATTGACATGCTCTTAAATACATAAGTTTCTTTTTCTTTCCTGTTCTCTAATGAGTTCATAATTTAATTGGAGAAACTGCTAGATTCCCTCCAAATACTAGTAAAAATCTCAAAGGAGAAAAGGCTGCTTATGCAAGTGTTCTCATAAAACGGGGAGTATTTAAGTATGGTAAATAAATACTAGATACAAGAATGGTATTCAGCTGTCTCCTTAAAAGCTTGAAGCCTACATATCTCCGTATTGATGGTCTGGTTCTGAGCTGAACATTAATGAAAACATCTTCTATTATAAATAAAACTAAAGCACTACTATATATTACCACTTCCCTAGGGCAAAGTTCTGCTTTTGGGTAAATTACAGAGAGGTATTATTACAGCGTTGTGAAGTAACATAGAGATATAATCCAATTAATCCATCCATAGAATGGATCTGCAGAATAAACCGGAGGCTGAAACCTGGTACAGCCCAGCCTTCCCAGCGTGCCCGCCCGCTGAAGGCTGCAGTGCAAACTCCAGACTCCGGGGGGCAGATCCGCTCTTTTGGAGAGGAAGGGCACCCACCTACCCCAAACCCACCGCAGCAATGCGAGTGCTTCAGGGTCCCAGCTGGCAGGAACGGCGGGCTGACCGAACAGACAAATAAGCCCCAGCCCCCTAAGCAGCAAATAGGCTTTCCTTCAGAGAATTTATTCAGATTCTGACATGGATTTAAATTTAGGAGAGAGAATGTGAGAGCAAGAAACTGTTAAAACTGAGGATACTTTTCACTTGCGTACTGTGAGTTAGAGGTTTCTATTGCTGTTGGAACTGCAATTGTAGCTGAGACAGGGTCAGAAAACCCTGGGGCTTAAGTACAGAAGCTTCAAGGCGAGAAGAGTATAAAAATAAATTCCAAAGGGCTTAATAACATTGTACAGAGGCTGGATATTCTGGTGCCAGGAGGAAACTGGTGGCTCTTAGATCAAAACCTAATCACCCAAAAGCAATAAGATCCTTTCCTTTAGCCAGCTAGTCATTCTGTCACCCACTGGGGCAATGTTTTTTTACTAGCATCCCAAATTACAGTTAATTTACTGTGTATAAATGTACACATCATTGACAATATAACAGTTAAAGCAAAAATACTTTGGAATGAACGTGGTTAAACCTTTAGCATCCTGATCTAAAATCTGCTAGGAACCTTCTGCTTGACTTCAAAAGAATTATTATCAGCATTTTAGTGAACTTCTCCTACCAAAAAAAAAGGTTAAAAGGGAGCTGTGCCTCACAGCTTACTGCCAGGCCTGTCCTTCACATGGAATCGAAGACAGGCAGAGCTTCCAGGCAGCCCAGGCCATTTCTGCAGGCAGCAAAGTTGAGAGAAACCCTCCTGAGGCCACCACACAGGACACCCTCTGATTCTCTGCAGCAAGGCCAGACGAGGGCAAAAATGTCTGCTCTTTCTTAGTTTCCCATCCCAGAGACTTTATTTATGCATTACTCGACCTTTCTAGCCATTAGGACCATCTTGCTTCAGCAGTTAATTAACACAAGTGCCATAATTTAATACAGTTAATGCTACTTGATGCCCTTTAATGTACCTTCCATTAGTGATATTATTGTAGTATTACCCCATAAATTAAAATGAGATCAAGACTAAGAAAGGCTCTCTTTAATTAAGGTACTGGCACACTACATCGTCCATTATTCACTAGAAAAAATCACCCTGATTTAGTGAAGCAGACCGTCAGTAAGTTAGAATTAGTTCATGTGGATTATTAGGTTTCTTGAATAATGTGAGCACAATGGGGTTGCTGAAATTGCTAACAGCCATGTTTCCTTTTTTCATAATCTTAATAAATACACAATAGGAGTGGTAAATTGAAGATGAATAAACAGGTGGTAATAGAGGAGGTAAGGCATTCATCGAGAGCGCACAGGCTTTCATCTGTAATGCATGCAACATACATCAGGCTTATTTCACACCAAAACGCAAAGCGATAACAAAACACCACCTATAGTAAGTGGGCAAATCTCCTACCTATAATTTGTTGTGAAGTATTAACCACTCCAGCATCTTGTATATTAAATATGGCAGCTTTAAGATAGATGCTTTTCACTGTCATCGATCCTTAAAATACACTGTGAAACAAATTACGTTTTATGCTGCCTTTACAAATATGCTATTATGAGCTTTGGTGATTTTAACTAACTTTAACCTACAGGTTATTTTTTTCAGTAAAAGGACTAGCTCTAAAATGTGTCTGCTAGCATCACATCCACCACATATCAAGCTCCTTGGTAAGGTGTCCCTTTGTGTCCCATCCTCATGGAACAATCTAGTCTAGCTTTACTAAATGTATACAAATAGCTAGGTCTCAAAGACCAGAATACAAAACATTGTAGCAAAAAAACAACCTCAAACCCACACTTACTTTCCAGTTAACATCCTGAGTCAGAAATAGCAGCACAAACCCCCTGGTAGCCCTTGCCCCGCTCCATGGCGTTCCCATGCTCAGGGCACACGACCACAGTGCTGATTTGAAGACTCTTGGGGGGGGCCCTATAAGGTTTCTGGTAGGAGACCAGAACCACCTAAACCCAGGTGACAGTGGGCCTGCTGCAAGTTAGCTTTGGTGCGACTCAATAAGCAGGGACTGTGTACTGCAACCCCACAGCTACTTAGCAGTAAGCAAGCCCATAAATTCTCTAACGAGGAGGGCTCGCTCCGTATTGAAGGAAAGGCCACCAAATCCCTAAAGAGCTGTTCTTCTTATTAGCAGAAGAGTGATAAGAATTCATGTGAATCTAATCTAGTGAGCTACTATTACACATCAGATATTTCTTTTAAAGCATGTGCCCAATTACTGCAGCATGTAGACAACAAGCATCAGCATCAGATAAGTTCTCTGTACAGTCACACTTCATTTTTATAGATAATTTTTCACAAGATTGCTGTGCTCCACGTGTGCTCGGAAGGTTCCTGTTTCTAATTTGCATGCAATGCACTCTTTTTTAATCCTTCAGATGCTTGCTTTGATAAAGTACTGATAGTCTAATTGAAGTCAGACTAAGCTCCAAATGGGTTTTCAGATGGGAAGCAGCTTTTCCTTAAAGCGTAAGGACCTTCAAATCCTGAGCTTTGATATGGTCCCTCTGTAGAGGTAACCCATGTGGGGCCCAATGGAGACACGATACACATTACATAGAACATACATGTTCTTTTTTATATACTGAGACTAACGTTAGTAAACTATTTCAAACAGTATCTTATGCTGTCTACGATCCACTTATCCCTCTCAAGAGACTTCTGAAAATTAATTTACAGTGTAACTAATAAGAGTTACAATAAGAATTCTTAAAACACCAATATTTATCTTAACTTTCACATGTTCAATTAGTGATTCTATATGTATGTGTATCTATCTAGTGTGGACACAGAAGACTGTAACTACATGCTAAATCTACGGTCCTAAAAAATGTATTTTGATATCATATAAAAATATAGTTGCACTGCAAAGGCACTTATGCATTCAAATCTATATGTGGCATCAATTCTTCCTTTACATAAAGTTAGAGGAATATTTTTCAATAGAATGCATCACTGTAATTTGACTTTATTTTGATTTTATGTATCGATTTTTGCAATATGGAAATGCTTATGAACATGAAAGGCTTGTATAATACAGGTAGAAAATGGCAAACTCACTACAGGAGTAATATGGTCACCAGTGTTTCCTATAATCACTGTCTGGTTTTTTTTCCCTCAGTCCTGTGTCTACAAAAAATGCCCCGGCCTTCCAAGATACTTTAGCTTTTCTGTTCGTTTTCATACTTAGCTTCTCTTAAAAAAAACAAAAGCATCTTTTTAAAAAGGAAGGTTTGAACTCTCTATAGAAGAAGCAGAGGAGAAGGAAAAGGTACATTAGAGAGGTGAGTGAATTTCTAATGGAGAAGGTCCGATTTATTTCTTCTGAACAAACTGGCATCAAAGACACATGTAAAGGATATCACCCTCCTTGCCTGAGGTCATCAGTCAATTGCTAGTTTGAGTTGGGAAGAAAATTTCCCGATAGGAATGTCATTGCACAGTTATTCTGGGGACTATGGCACCTGATACCAGTCACTGCTTGCCGTAGCGGGACTATTTGTCTTGAACCCAGCTGAGAAACCATGTTTGTTATATTCAAATCCATCTCTCCAAAACACCGTTGTTTTTTTCTATTTTGCTTCAGCTTCACTGCATTTCAGAGCTAATTAAAGTACAAGGAATGGACTAATCTCTGCTGCCTTCCTTGTTCAGGCAGTTTGTAGCTAGACCTAGCAGAAAGGGTCCACGCAAGGGCTGCTGTATCAATCACAGCTTACATTAAAGGCCTGAAAAAGCAAAATGATAGAACAGAATCTTTCTTTTTAGTTAATTGCCATCTGGTGAGGCTCCAACTGTAAAAAAGCAGAAAATGTCCTTCTGCCAGTGTGACTTCCTGAGCCAATGTAAGAAACTGTTAATACTATCCTGCTCGTGAGACCTAGGGCTTCAGATCCCAGGCTAGTGACAGCAAACGCCTGGGACATCGTATCACTGAGTCAGAAACTTCTAGTATGACTAGAAACAGACTTGTACTGAGCCAAATTTCCAATGAACATGTCTCAGCAGAAAATGTTGTCATGTCTGGGGACATGAAGGGTTTTGAATAACCTCTAAACCCAAACATACATGCCTGTTTCTAAAGGTATATATTCTCTTACCTTCCGTATACCCTTATGTCTGAAATTGCATAAAAGTAGCGTGCCAGGTGCTGCTCATCTACATATATTTCTCCGGTTGCTGGCCTAAGCAGTCTTATCCTCAGATCCGTGATGGTAAAGAAATCTCTTAACTTCTTCGTTGTGTCAAGCTGGCCATAAAGAGAAGCCATGTTATGAAGCCGAGGTCCAGCAAAAAAAGCAAATCTGTCTTTGATTTCAAAGTGGATTATTTTACTATTTGTCATGTATCCAGTAGAGTATTCCTCTGTGCAAATGATTTCTAGGACTGTGTGCTGCGATAAATCCCTCACTGATTTTGGATCCATGTGGAAAGCATCTAAGCAGTCTGTGGCATAGTATTGGTAGGGCTGCCATGTTCGTCCATAGTCAAGCGATTTCTCCAGGATCATTTGGTCTGGACGGCCAGATTCAAAAGTAATAACTATGTTATCTGTCAGCTCAATGGTTTTGTTCCAGGAGAGCGTAATGTTAACATGAAGAGGCTTTGGATAATCCTTCCAAGTTGTGGACTGCCAAAATGTGGAGGGATGTCTTCCTTCAAGATCAAACATCAGTTCCGGAGGATGTGCCAGTTCTTGGGTACTCGCATCACATTCATTATTGCACATGTAGGGATTCCCCTGGAAAAGAGCAAAGCAGTGTTACAAGAGGCATGGTATACGTGGCTGTGACACATAGTTTCTTGTCTGGCATACGAGAACTGCTGGAATACCTTTATCTTAATGAAATTTAATCTGGCTATTTTCCTTGTTGAAGTAAATGTACAAACACACACATACACAACACCCTTGCTTCTGTAAAATAAACATTCTTCTTAGTATGTTTTAGAGAAAGAAAAGAGTTTATTTACCCTGAATGACTCAGAACAGCAATTGAGTCACAAAAGACCAAGAACAGCAAGCAAGTCTCTAATAGCTCAGTAACTCTTACTCGTCCTAGAAAGACGCAGCAGCCAAAGAGAATTTACTTTTAAAACAAGTACGTCCCTCAAGAGCTCCATTCACAAAAGAAATAATTTTTAGGGCAAGTGTGTTGAGGTCAGCAGTGCAGCCCATATGTACTCAGTAAGAAGCAGTACTCAGTACACCTTCAAGTTTGCTTTCACCTGGTGTGAAATTTATCATGCTTAACTGTGCTCCCAGCTTAGCACCAGCTTGCCTTAAAACATTTACACTTGCCACCAAAAGCCATTAGAAAAGCAGTGCTCTGCCAGCCCTGGGGCTTGATTCAGACATCTGCCATCTTATTACAAGGTAGTGAAGTAAGTACTTCAGGAAAGACTTTTCATGAGGCACCAGCTCCAATTTATCAGGACAAGATAATCCAGCACTTGATTAGGTGGGAGATGTCAGCAGCTCCAGCTGGAATGCTGCCGAGGTGGCTGGAGCTCTGAACTGGGGGTTGAGTTAAAAACAGCAACAAAAAAAGCTTGCCAATAGTGCACATCTTTTACTGCTGCTTGTCCTCTGTAGCAAGGTGAAAGTGAATTATTCTCTTCCTGGCCTTTTGATGCATTAACTTGCACACTACAATCTTCTGCTTCTTCACAAAGGCTATTTTGTCTGCAGATTGGGGATATCTTGCAGCAGTTGCCAAGATATCAGAACCCGTAGGCTGCACTGAATCACGTCTATCTAATTTCAGCTTTCAAGAGTACATTAATATTTTGCTACTTGTTCATTCTGCGTTTGCGCCAGAGAGTAACCACTGCTCTGTATCCTTCCCTCCGCCTTACATAAGGATCATGGAAGAAACCATGCCTCTTTCCACTGATGGTCAGCACTGCTGGGGAAGAAGATGCACCAGTCTATACCTAGCAGTGCTTGACAGGGGCATAAGTGTAGCTGTTACTGTCATTAATCAGAGTTCCCCTCACCTACCCTGAAAACAGAACAAGCCCTGGTGCGATAATCATCTTTTTCTTCTCTTACAATTACAGTTATGCTTCTCTCAATCTCAAAGCCTCGAGGCAACTGAAGCGATTCAGTGCTGTCCAGTGCGGGAAATGCGAACATGAGGTTCCACCTCGGCCGCTGCTCTGCTCCTTGACATACTCCCACAAAACACAAGCAAAAGGACTTCGCTCTCACTTTGACCTCCCTACTGGCAACTTCCTCTTACCTGGGCAGGGAAGTACTATTTTCTCTCTCTCTTTTTCCCATTAATACAGCTGAATGCTAAAACTGACAATGATTCACTGGGACTTCGAGTTAGGGAAAAAACTACAAGACAACAAAAAGGGTTATTTGAAAAGCAGCACACTGCTTGTTACACTGACAGCTTCAAAGCATGCAGCTGTAACTGAAAATTCTCTGTACAACATGTCTATAATAAGTCCCTGTTACAGCTCTGATTTCAAGCTCACGATTGCTATTTCTATGCCTTCCTTTTGAATAAAACAGTGAAAATCAAAAGCAAGTTTCAAGCAGAATAGAGAAGGCACTGATTTTTTTATTATTTAAGCTCCATTTAATATATCAGACACAAACACCAGGATTTGCTAACTTACTTAGGACTTTTCCTTACAGAAAACACACATATTGTGAAATCTGTAAGATTCCAGCCCATTTTCACTGTATGTAAATAGCAGTTTTGCAGAAAATGCTCAGAGTTGTGTAAATCACACCTTTCTGAGGTTTACTTGAAAAATCTGGTCATTTCTGTACCTGTGACCATGAAGCTGCCTGCACACCTATAGTATATGCTTCTGTCATCGCTTTAGTAAAAGCAACTTCACTGGGAGGTCATGGGTATCGAAACACAGCAAATAAATGCTCCTGGGTAGCCAGACAGGTGCATTAAGCACTGTTGAGGGACGGCTTTGGTTTCCTGCTCCACAAGCAACCACTGAGTCTGTTGTGATTCTTCATGTTAAAAACTAAAGCTGCTCTGATCCGCTAGTCCCTGGATGCTGGAGGAGGCATGCTTTATCACTTCCAGCAAGTAACCCAGATTGTGTGGGATGTATTGTTTCTTTCTGTATATGAGAGTTGATTTTTTTTTGCTCCCTTTTTCTTTCACTTACTCTCTTTTAGCAAAAGCCAAGGTGCCAACATAATCAGAGAACGCTGGGAGACGGGGCTCTAAAAAAACACAAGCTAGTGTGAATGCAGTAAGATCATGAGAGCTGGTAGCAAGAAGGTACCTAAAAGAATGGTGCAGTGAACGCTAAAAATCAGCCCTAGCTTGCTACTGAATGGTAGTCTACATCTCTGTGGGCACAAAGCTTTTTGGGAAAGGTGAGGCTCTTTCAATTAATGGCAGAGTATAGTGAGAAATGGGTCAGAATCACAGTGCTGTCCTGCATCTGAAACTCTTACCAGTGGTAACATTAGTGGCACAACCCGCCATTGAACCCTGGGGTAAGGACATCGCTGCAAATGAGAATCCTAATAAAAAGCTTCAGGCATATCATCCCCAATAAATTGAATTATTCTTTTAATATTATAGCATGCAATTCTCTTTTAAGAGGCAGATGATTTGATGACACCAAAATAACCTGAGTGGAGTTCAGTATTCTAGAGAGGAAATTAAGAGCAAAAAATCTGAGCTTATATAAGCTGGTAAAATAAATGTCCTGAATTGTAACACAGAGAGGAGGAGAGAAATGATGAGTTTAGGTAAGCTCCCCTCTGCCTACTGACATGGCAGTCACTGCTGTAATTCTGAAATATTTAATGTGATTATTGCTTCAGAGGCCTGGAGTCAGATTCCCATTTTCTCTACCAGCAACTCGGCTTTAAACTGCTTCTAATTAATCTTAAATGTAATTTGCATGTAAAGTCATACTTACATTACCAAAACAGTGTAAAGGGGTCTTACCCTACATGAACGTCCCTTAGTACATGTTAGTATGAAAACAATTAATTTAACTGGGATTAGTTACATATTTTAATGTCTCGATCCCTGTGATAATCCTCTTTAAGACCTCTATCTCAGTAAAATGAACACAACAAAGAGAAACTTTCCCCAACTTGTGAAAACTAAGCCCATTCTGTGTTGGGGACATCTAGAGGACTGGAGCATTAGCAGCTGTAAGTTGTTTTGTGACCAGCAGGCAGCCATAAATAGACCTTCATTTAAGCCTTCCAAGCAGAAGCTCTTCAGATGGACAAGGTGGAAAATATTTATAACTTTTCAAAAATATATTTAAGGCATTAGGAGATTTCTAAATAATTAAATACTAATAAATACTTCTAAGCACTTTACTGCCAATTAGCATAAAAGGTAGCTGAGGCTTTCCCAACACCAGGACCATCTAAAAGAAACACACTATTTTCCTGTACAGTAATTGAAGTTTGATATTAAATAGCTCCTTGCTGGCAGGCAAATTAGGTTGCTATTTATTTTCTTTTAGGCTGCTCATGGAGTTCAAAATACTACCAAAACTACTGACATAGTCCAAAAATTTTGGCTTTAGGAAGAGGTACCTGTTTTGCAGGCATGGCAAGGGTAGGTGGCTGTACCACATGGTTTGATCATGCTCAGCCCTGGCTGGAAAAAGCAGAGTTACCTGAGAAGGGACTGACTAGGACTGACCGGTCCCAGTAGGGTTTCCCCTCAATTAGCTGGATTTAGTTTGTTTTAGCACACAGTGATGTCTGTGCCAGCCAGCTTGAACTTTTATAGTGGTGTCTGAGGTGCTCTGTAAGTGTCCCTGCCTGGGATGGTGCGCTGGGGCTGGCCTTGCTCCTGCTGGGCAGGAGCGTGTCTTACCAAGTGCATCTTCAGAAACAACTCAGTGACGGATGGGACAGTGACCCTAGAGTGAGGATTTTGGTTAAAAACAGGGGTCTAGCAGTATGACCTTTGAACGTCAGCAGGGGAGCCAGCAGTGGTGCTGCAGCTGCCGTTCGAGGGTTAAAGTCCGAGCACTGCAGCTCAGGCGAAGGCTGCCCATCTCTCATCAGGGCTGCTCAGTGGCATCCACACAGGCTTAGGGCTTGATTGAAGATGCCGCTTCTTTCAATCTGCTTCCTGTCCACACTAACACCTCATGGACTTTTTTACTCAGGAACAAAGACAGAGGGGCTTAACCTTTCTGCAGCGTGAATATTGGAAGCTGTATCACAGATTACGTGCTGTAATAGACACCTGGCTAAATCCCTACAGAGGATTATAACTTGCATTTTCAAACTGGTGAAGGCTGCTGAGGTCAAGCAGGCCAAGATTTTAGGAAGGAGCAAAATAAATTTTCAAGAAGCAAGTCACAGCAACTGATTTTTATACCAGTGCCTCAAGGTAGTTAGCTCAGATGCACAAGACAAGAAATAAATACAGCCTGACTCACATTTGCAGTGAGGTTATGCAGTAAATTACTGCATTCAAATCACACTTTTGGAAACAGTAGAGTATTTCTGCTTTCCTTTCCAAGAGATCATTACAGGTAGTTCGCTTGGTACCATGCTGTACATTGTAGATGACTAATTAGCCAGTTATAGCTCATAGCAGCAATTGCCTTAATGTTTACATTTTACATGTGGTTTCTAACCAGGAATTACTTGTTTACCATGACGGAGCCAGATTATGAAACCATTAATTGAGAGATACTACTCATTAGGCGTTGTCCTACTGAGGGCAAACAGTCGATGTGGAGGATTGGCAAGGCACAGAATCTGTC